CTTTCAAGCCCTGTAAACAGACTGCGCGCCACTCCCAGCCCAGGCAGAACCCAAGGTTCCAGACAGCCCAGGGTTCCACCATGGAATTCCGGCTTTCTAGCCCTGTAAACAGACTGCGCGCCACTCCCAGCCCAGGCAGCACCCTGTAAACAGACTGCATGCCACTCCCAGCCCATGCAGCACCCTGTAAACAGACTGCATGCCACTCCCAGCCCATGCAGCACTCAAGGTTCCGGACAGCACCCAGGGTTCCTGGATGAATTCCGGTTTTCAAGCTGTACCACTCCCAGCCCCAGAGATTGTTGGGAATGGCAGAAAGTCAGAAAGTCGGGTTGGTCTAAAAAGGCAAAAGCAAGAAAATGACACCACATGTAAGAGTTGTCTAACAAGATATGGTTCCATGTCCATATCACAGATACGATACTCACAAACGTCCTGCAGTACGATCTTGGAAATTGGTTGCATTGCAAAGACTTCCTCTCCTTTTTTCCCAGGCATCCGCACCACGGTGTCTGCAGGCGGGCAAGGCCAAAAAATGGAGGCAACAGTGGGCTGTAGGTGGAAAGTTGTATCTTCAGCCATCTGACACACCGAAGAGGAACACTGTCCGTTTGCGAGATGAAAAGGCAGCATTTGACATCAATTTGGCACGAGGCTCATAAAGAAGGCCTTTGTCGGAGCAAATCACCAAAATACATGCATCAAAGAATTCCACGAGGACAAAAGAATCTCCTGAGGCTGAGTCGTCTCGCACACCACCAAACTTCTAAGCTGCAGGCTGGTTCCAGAGAATGGCAAGTTCAGAGACTTGCCACGGATACTCCAGATCGAGCTTATCCAACTGTGGATGCCTGTGAAATCAATGCTGGTAACTCCATAAACTATGAAGCCCATCCCAACCTTGTGACGGCCATCGCATAACAAACAGTCCGAATATCATCCACTGCCTGAGTTGCGGATTGGTCACCAGAAAGATTGGAGATAATCTTCAGCGAAATAGAATTTATATTGTATTGTTTAGCAGGATCCAAAAGCTAATGGCTGTTGGCGCCGCTGAAACCATGGATACGAGCGACGCAAAAAATACGAGCGCGCGCGCAAAAACTCCGAAACCCTATCCGTTTGCAAAAAATAATTATCCGACTGAGGAACGAATACTTACGGGAAAGTGCCTTCCGCA